ATGTTCGGTGTAGTGGGAACACGGTGGGGGTGGGATGGGGAGAAGAGAAGAGAAAGGAAAAATCAGCTGGGCCAGGGGGAAGCCCTTGATAAAGCAAAACCTTGTGCCCAAATGACCAGTTCAGGGTGAATTACCTGGGAGATCAGCCCCAGCCTCCAGACAGCACCCATCTCACACTTCAAATCCCCAACCCGGGGTTTGGGCAGGAAGCTCAGGGATGGAGAGTAAGGGAGGCCGCGGGGCTGGCCCAGGCAGTCTGTCACGGTTTCCTGACAGCCCAGGTGGCCCTCAGGTTTGGATGGAGCGGAACCCTGGGCAGAAGGTTGGGCCAGAGGGACGAGAGCCCCACCCACCTTGCGTTCTGAATTATTTTAGGAGGTGAAAAAAGACAGACCCTAAGCTAACACTGCCTCCCTTTGAGTAGCAATCTGTGGTCAAGGTGGCTCCTTCTCAGACAGCCTGCACCTGCTTCCGGCTGCGGCCTCTGCGTTAAATGGGAACCGTTGTCTCATCTTGTTCATGGGAAGCTGAGGCCCTGTGGCCTGCGTGTCTGACCAGACCAGGGTCCAGGCCTTCTGGGGTCTCCTACCTGACCCTGCAGGACAGGGGCTGTGTTTTCTTCACTCCCAGGGTTTGAGGCCTGTCCACACATATCAGCAGGGCCAGGGAGTGAATGAATGAGGGAGGAGCAGGTTAAGAGCGGCCGGGGCAGTCAGAGCTAAGGGCTGGACACGGAGCTGGGTGGTGAGTGCTGAGTGGCTCGCGAGTGGGGTGGCCGACGGACCTGGGGTGGCAGGAGGGGTGGTCAGGGACAACGCTGGTGCGGACACAGCCCACATGGGGTCCCAGGGACAGTCTGCCCCAAGGAGGACTGGAATGGCCGCCTCACTAACACACCAGTCACTTCAATGCTCTTTCCTCAAACTCTTCCAGACCCACTGTTCCACTGAGGCAGCCTGGTGCGGGGGGTGTTACCATCATGCCCATGTTACAGATGAGGAAGCTGAGGGCCGGGGAGGAAAAGGAAGTAGCAGAACCCATGGAGGACTTACGGGTCCTGGCCCCATATCTAGAGCTTTCTCCACCACAGCCCCGTAAGCTCCCTCCTAAGTGTCCAGGTGGCACAGCACAGAAAGGCAAGTATTTCAACCGGCTCGTCTGACCTATGGGGCCACGGCCAACAGGCCCAACTCAGCCAGGGCCTCTCACTCGTGGGATTAGTGGAGCCTCTGACTATTCACCCGTTTCTCATTTCTCCCTGTAGCATACAGGGTGTCCCAAGAAATGTATACATACTTTGAATAATTGTTAACTCCAATGGATTAAATCTGAAAAGAAAGGAACATCAATGGAGCTACCAGGAAAAAAAGTGTGTATACATTTTTGGGGGGACAGCCTGTATTTGCTTGACATCAGCAGTTGTGTGTGCCAGATGCCTTGGAACATTCTAGAGTGGGTCGATCCCTCTGAATTATTGTTACTGTTGGTCTTTGGAGTTTCTACTTGTTGTCAACAGTGCCGATTGCAGCAGGTGATGGGCTGAGGCATCCCTGGTTGTTAGAAAGGAATCTTTCTGGAAACCTGTTTGCCATCTGCCTATTCCTGCTGCCCAGCCCCCTTGCACAGAGCCCGGCTAGCCCACCTGCTGCAGAGACGGAGCTTGGAAGTGGATTTCTCCACTCGGTCCACGGGCTGCAACAAGGCTAATCCCTGTGCGGTCCGTGGAGGCTGGAGGGCCAGCCCCACAGCTCAAAGGAAAAGGTGGGTACCAGGTAGACAGGGCGCTCACCGCAGGGGGCCAGAAGGAGAGGCGGGGCTTGCAGGGCTGGGGGTGAGCTGCGACCATGCAGCTCTCTTTACTGACAACCTTGCTTTCTCAGTCTGGAAACGGGACTGGTTTGTGCAGCCTGGAACTGTCCTGTCAAAGGTGTAACAACACAGCAACCTGTAGCCAAAGGGCCCAACACGGTGCTGGCTGTCCAGCACAGGGACACATTTCACAGATGAAAGGACACATCTGCTTGTTCTAAAGCCAGCCAAGCCGGCAGGTGGCACGCAGAGAATCCGGGGTGCTGCAGAGAAAGCAGTCGCTGGGCTGGTGTGGGAAGCAGCAGGCAGCCCAGCCCCCCTTCTTCTCCCTCCTGCCAGCAGAGACTCTGGGAACCCTCCACCCCTGCCCGTCCCTATGCCCAGGGCTGGCCTGCCTGAGAGGCTGATGTGGGCGCAGGCAGCTGCTGGAGAGTTCCGGGGAAGGCTGCCCGTGTCTCACCTCTCCCTCCTGACACAGGTGCTCACTCTCACTCTGTTCTCATAGCTCTTCCCTGACACCCCCATCCCCTTGGAACCTGTCTTTTCCCACATTTCAGCTCCTCTCCCAGCAGGCATCCTGTCCCCTCTGCTCCCTCACTTTGCTCCCTCCTGTTGGTCCCTGAGGTTTCAGCTGAGGTGTCACCTCCTCCTGGAAGCCTGCCCTGATCACTAGCCTGGGCCAGGGTGCTGCACTTGTCCCTACCCTTGTCGTATCATACACATGTCCTATTTGCCTGCCCACTGGTCCCTGCTCCACTGGATGTGGGCTCCTTGAGGGCAGGGCCTGGGCCATGCTTGGCCCCCAGCCTTAGCACATGGATGATAATAAATGATCGCTGGATGCATGAGTGGGAAGGAGGCAGAAAGAGAACTGACAGGGGAGACAAGAGGGGCTCACAGGATTTCTGCTCACGGATGGATCTGCAGGAAGCCAACAGGATCCCCATCGTGCCCAGCCCCAGGGAGCTACTGGCTACTGGTTTCTAGGAGCCACCCTGGGTCTTCCAGGCTGCAAACCACACCCCCACCCCATGCCCAAGGAAACCAACCTTCTGGAGGGAGAGGGAGAGCAAGAGAGGGCTGGGGGAGGCTCTGCAGGCCTGGGGCCCTCAGCCCTGGGTCCCCTAAATCCAGGGATGGGGTCCTCGCTTTCTGTTTTCCCAGGACCCCTTGCAGTCAGGGGGCTGCGCATGGGCACCTGGCACTGGCACATTGGCAAGTGCAGGGAGAGACAGGCACAGATACAGACAGGAAAACACGGGGGTCACTGATTTTTTAAGAGATCAGAACGGCCAGTCAGGCCAGGGGCAGATGGCTGCCCGTGAAAAGCCTCCTAGCCCCAGCCCTGCTCGAACTTTTCCCACCCACCCTCCCGCCCTGCCCCATCCCTGCCAGCCCAGAGCTGAGTCCTCCTAAGACAGGGGCTTCCCTACCTCGGAAAGTCACTTTGGCGATCCGGTCGCCCTTGCCCCGCAGCTCCGAGACCGTCTTGAGGTGGACGAGCAGGGCCATGCTGGTGTGGAGAGCCCGGGCACTGCCAGGCAGGAGCAGCTGGGAAGGAGCGAGCCCAGGAACGTGGCTCACACGCCTCCCTCCTCTCTGCCGCTGCCTCCTCCCTCCGTGCCCCCTCCGATGCTGCCCACAGAGACCAAGGCAGCAGAGCAGAGCTGCTCCTTCCAGAGGCTCCACTCACAGAGACTCAGCCCTGCCAGCTCCCGCCCCTCCAAGTTGTCAGCCCAGCGTGCATCTGTGTGTGTGTGTGTGTGTGTGTGTGTGTGTATGTGCGTGTTGTGCACCCAGCGTGCAGCCTGAGAATGCAGACAGAGTTGGAATTCATTATTCAGCAGCCGCCGGCTCCCAGATAAAGCCCTGTCCAGCTCCAGGTGTCTTCTAGTTCCTGGGGCACAGCTGCCTGCCCACGCCTCAGTGGAGCTCTGCCTTACCCTGTTAGGCGAGCTCTTCTGCCACCAGGAGTGGGCAGATGGGAGTGGGCATGATTGTGAAAGGATGGGCATGTGGCTGAGGTGCCCCCTCCCACGGGGAAGAAGGGAACTTCATGATCTGTGTGCACAGAAAGTGGGGATGTTGCATTGGTGTTTCAGGGTGATCCATGCCATCCCCCCCCCACACACACACACACAGTCAAGTTGGCCACCAGGGTCCCTGGTGCCCACGAGGCTCAGGGGGCCTAATGGGCCAGGCCTGGCTGCTCTGAGGGGGTCATATGGTGCCACGTGGAAATTCTAACCTAGGGCTCCCCAGCCAGAAAAAAATCAGTATCTACCAGACAACATCCAATTGGTGCTTGGTGGCTGGTCCCCTGGAAATGGGAGCCCTAAGAGAAGAAGAAAATGGACTTCCTCACCTGTCCTCACAGAGACTGTGCCCCCACGAGGCTGGGTCCTGACCTCCTGGCCCTGGGATCACTGGATCTGGGAGGATGGAGGAGCCTTTGGAGCCAGGCTATGCACGATTGCGGATGTGCGGCTATGAAGGCTTCAGAAGCTCCTGCTCTACTAAGGGCAATGCTTACGGTCCAGGGCAATGACCGAGCCCCATCCTCGGGGCCTGGGGATGAAGAGGCCTGGGGTGGGGAGTGAGATGGTCTGGAGAGGATGCTGGGGTGGGGGATTTCTAAGGGCCAAAGGAGAACTGCCCCCTCCTTGTTCCCAGCAGCATGCCCGAGGAGGGACTCGGGGAAAGGGGCCCGGGGACTGCGATCCTCGAACCTGCAGCCTTTGCAGAACCAGCTGCACCGTTGCTCTTACTGTTTGCACAACATGTCCCTACCCCACCCTCCTCACCTGGACTCACTCAGCATGTCCGTTCCTGGAAGTGTCCCTGCACCTGCACCCGTCCCCAGGCTGCGTTAGGGTCTTCTGTGCTGTCTCTGCCCCTCCCACCTCACCCTTCACGGGGCTGCTCCAGTAACCTCCCCCTGCTGGCTGGGAGACCCCAGGGCACTGTCTCTTTGGATCCGCAGGGCCTGGTGTGGTATCCGGTGTAAATTTGCTCAACCAACATGTACTGAACCCCTTCTGGTACCAGGCCCTGGGGATTCGGGGATGAATATGATACAGCGCTGGACCTCAAGCACAAGAGCTAGATGGACTTAGTCCGCGGACCACTGGTGGTCTGTGAGGTCCGAAAGGTTGGCGACCGCTGGGCTAGAACACAGTCAAGTAGACACAGGGTGATGGGTCCATGGGCAGGGAAGCTCAGGAGCCAAGAACGGAGAAGGGAGTGGACACTTGACCTTGCCCCGGGGTTGGGTGGTGATGGGTCATTAGAAACAGGACCTGGAGTGTGGCACACCAACCGGAGGGCTGCTCTTTTACAACTTTCATTAAATATGTTCTTACTGTAGCCCAGGCTCTGCACAAGGAACTTAGAAATATAGTTATGACTGCAGTGCGGAGGTGGGTGAAGATTCCTCCCACCTCGATTGCCACCACTCATACCCCTCAGTTCCTTCTCCTCCCCAGACCTCAGTTTTCCGGCTTCTTGCGTCTCATGGAAGCCCTGGCTCCCCCAGAGCCACTGTTATCTGTCAGAGACAGCCTCTGAGGATCCTGGCTGCGGAGCGGCCTGTGAGCTCATTAGCGCCGTGGGCCTCATCAGCTGCCACCCACGGAGCCAAACTGTGAAGATAACACTTCCATGCACAGATGAAGTGAGAGTGTGAAGGACAAGTGTGAACTGCAGCCCATTCGTGCTGATGCCAGGACTCTCCCGGGGTTGCTGGGGAAGCAGGTCTAAGTCCCAGTTCCAAGCAGCAGGAGCTGTGACCAGACCCTCACCGTCCATGCAGGACCGAAGGCTTCTCCCTGCCCCACTCAGCCCCGGGCTGGGGTCAGGGTAAGGGGACACCGGGTGTGGGCACCGGACAGTTAGAGGAACCAGGCATTGTCATGGAGCACCCTCCCCAGGCCTTCCCGAAGCGTGCTCTCCAGGTCGGACCGAGCTGCGGAATTGGGACAAATGTAAACCACACGCTCCGCCCTCTCCACCATTTGCTTTTTGTCCCCATAAACTCCTCTCCCAGGGAGCGACGACAGATGAAGACCATTTCCCTTGGCGAACTGGGCGCGCGGCCACTCAAGCTCCCAGAGTTGAGCCCATGGGGCTGCTGCCTCCTGCGCCTCCTCCAGAGCTAGGGGTTCCAAGCCGGGAGGACAGGGCGCCCCAGCCCGGCCTCCTCATCGTTTCCATTCGTCCGGCATCTGAGCATCACCACGCCCGCAGCGAAGCCTAGAGATGAGCCCATTCCTGGATGTGAACGCGAAGCTGGGGGTTGGGGACGGGGGTGCGGGGGGAGGGAGGCGACGATTTGCGGGTCACCCAGAAGGGCCCGAGGAGAATGGAGCATTTATTTTCAGGGCGCGCCCCTCGGAAGGGGATATTGAGGGGGCGCGTGGGCCCCAGAACACGGAGGCTGCAGGGCCCCACGGCGACGCCAGGCGCGCGGTTGCCGGGTGACCGGGCTGTTGACCCGCGGGCCGAATCCCAGAGGCAGGGCTGGCTGCGCGCTCGCCGCACCCACCATGGCCTCCCGCAGCGCGGGCACCCTCCTGTCCGAGTTCAATGCCGCCTACGTGCCCCCTGCCCTCATGCCTGGGTAAGGCCCCCCCCCTCCCGGGCAGACCCACGGTTCAGAGCCGTGGCGGGGTAGGGGTAGGGGGATGGGGGGAGCCTTTCCCTCTCCCTCCACAAAACCCTCCTCCGTCCTGGAAACTCCGCCCCCGCGCCTTGGGGGTTGGAAGGAACCCAGGAGCCAGTGTCTGGCCTGGCTGGGTGGTCTTCCCGGGAGGGGGCGGCGCTCCCTGTAGGCTGGGCGCCCGCGGGGACTCCCCAGACCCCCCTAGGTAGGAAGTGGGTCCTAGCGGCACAGAATACACCCCACCCAGGCCGGGATCAGGGGAGCCCCAGTGGATGGGGGCCGGGTAAGGGGGAGCCCCAGTGGATGGGGGCCGGGTAAGGGGGAGGAGAGGGAGATGACCAGGCAAGAGCGAGGTGAGGAATCCCGAAAAGTGAGCAGGCTCTTCAGCCCCCAGCACAGTTTGGGGCACCCAGTGCAGCCTTGGCATTTGTCGTTTGCAGAAGTGAAGGAGACATGGTGGGCGCCTGGGGGCGGGGCTCAAAGACTCTGGCGAGCCCAGCAGGCAGCAGTAACGCCCAGTGGTGGGCGCTGTCCACGGGCCCGTGTTACGTTCTTCACGCGCCCCCCTCCCACCCCGCAAGCTCAACTCATCCTCACAGTGTGTTGGCTTTGAGAGTGTCCAGCCCCAGGGCTGCCTTGTCTTGAGAGGCAGGGTCAAACCTACCTTCTCTTTCTCTAGATCAGTGGTTCTCAACCTGTGGGTCGCGACCCCTTTGGGGGTCGAATGACCCTTTCACAGGGGTCGCCTAAGACCATCAGAAAACACATATATAATTACATATTGTTTTTGTGATTAACCACTATGCTTTAATTATGTTCAATTTGTAACAATGAAAATACATCCTGCATATCAATTATTTACATGACGATTCATAACAGTAGCAAAATTACAGTTATGAAGTAGCAACGAAAATAATTTTATGGTTGGGGGTCACCACAACATGAGGAACTGTATTGAAGGGTCGCGGCATTAGGAAGGTTGAGAACCACTGCTCTAGATGCTTTCAAACTCCAAACATGTAAGATGCAAGTCTGATTGTTTTCCTCCGGCTGTTTCTCCCAAAGCGTCTGAGATTTGCGCTCCCAACCTCCTCTCCAAGGTATAGGATTGTCCTCTCTCTCCTACCAGTCAACACAGGCATCGAGGGCAGGGGCTGGGTTCTGAGAAGCCACCTGCACGGTGTCAGCACATCTGTATAAAACGAATGAGTGAGAGAGAGAGAGCGCATGAATGAAATGAATGTCTTGAGAGTTCTGCAGGCAGGTTTTCACGTGTTCTCTCTCCGCTGAGAACGGAACAAACTGAAACATGAACACACGACCTCGCCATATATTTTGTATGAAGTTTGGGTTGTTTTGAGGCACGGCAAGCGGGACATTGGAGGGGCTATGTCATTAAAGCCATTTCTGCGCACAGAGGCAGTGTAGCAAGGAGGGGCTGGTTCTGGAGTTATGAATCCTCCCATTTGTGGTCAGGACCTTGGAGAGCTCAACTTGGGTTCCCATCAGACGGGTCACAGTTTCCCACTAATTCACTCATGTGGGCATTCATTTGGTAAAGATGTGTCCAGTGCTTGGGCGATGCCAGGCGTTGTATTAAGACAAAAACGGATGAGGGGGGGGAGGGGAGGTGGGCCTCGAGGGTTTACAGCCTTGGAGAGTATGTTTATACCACATCCTGGGTGTTTATCATGAGGTTTGATTTTATACTTTGATACATTTTTTCCCTAAGCCCCCCCACCCCCCGCGGTCTCTAGTTTGAATTAACTCTCCCCCATGCCCCCTCCACTCTGTGTAGGTCTGTGTGGGGGTGGGGTGGGTGGAATGATTGTTTTAGAAGCAATCCCAGCAT